TTTAAATTTTATTGTTTTTTGGAAAATTATTTTCTACCTTGTACTTATATAAGTTCTTACAAAATTTCCTGGATTTTTTCTCTTGGCCTCCAGAGATTACAATATTTGTTATTTTGTTCTTTACAAAAAGTTTTAACACTTGTTCTGTATCATAATTATGATCCTTGTTATAGAAATCTATTTGTCAGAACTTAAGAAATATTACACATAAAATTCATGGAAACCAATTTTAGTACTCCAATCTTGTTAGACTGCTTAAAGGTCAGTTTAGTTTGATCATTTTCTTTTCTTGTCTTCTCAGAATTTAGTTTCTAGTAGTTTAAAAATTTTGCAATTTCTAAAGCAAAAAGTTTGGGGATATTGATAACACTGATCTTATTTCTATGTCTTTTTCTTCTCTTTCTCGACTTGGACTTTAGAGTACTAGCTAGGTTGCCTTGGTTCTATTCAATTTCTAATATTATCTAGCTTTCCTATCTGTTCTCCAAGGGCAGATGTGTTTGATGTAAGCCAAGCTTTTACAAGGAGAATGTAAATCTCTTGATATTCCTTCCTTTTGTCTCATAATTTTTATGCTTAATGCTATAATTTAGACCGAGCCTTCATCATCAACCATGGGGAAATGTACCTAGTCTAATGACTTGTCTTCTTGCCTTAAGTTTTTCACTCATTCATCTCATCTTTTATATTCCTTAGCTTCAATTCCTTCAGATATTTCCCTTGGACTAACATTACATTGTAAAATATATTCCATGACTTTTTTCTCTCTGCCTATATCTATAAGTACTTACTTCATTAAGAGTATCCTTCCCTCCTATGGTCCAATAAAATTGAACACTGCAGTTTTCTAAAGAAGCCCCATTGTTGTATATATTTCCAATTTTGCTTATGCTGTCTCATTGTTCTGGAAACGTTTGTGACGCTCACTCCTCATCCTTTTATTTTACTTTACTTTATCCTCATAACTCTACTCATTTTCAGGGCTCAATTTACCCTTCAACTTCCATGTTATCCCAGTCACTGTGTACTTATCCCTTTGTTCGTTCACATTTAGTAACTGATAAACTTTTATTTGTGATAGTCAGCCCCCAGTTTGGCTCCCTGTAACCTGGCCTCCTAATATTACCTTACTTGCATAATACCCTCCCATTAGATTTGGACTGGACACTACTTCCAGAGTCTAGAGAATAGAGCAATGCAGAAGTGATGATGTGTGACTTGGACACTAAGTTCTCAATGGTAGTTTGTTTGCCTTTGCTGCTGTTCTTTCTCTCTCAGATCATTCACTGTGGGGTAAGCTATTGGCCACATTATGGATACCTCTTTGGAGAAACCCATGAAGGGATAAATTAATGTCAACAACCTTATAAGGATGTGGGCATGGCTTCTTCAACCCAGTTAAACTTTCAGGTGAAAACAGACTCAACTGACAACTTGACTACAATCTCAGAAGAGATCTTAAACCAGGACTGAATTTGAAACTTATATAAGATGTTAAATGATTCCCAGTTTAGAGCAATTTTACTTTATAATAGCTGCATCTCCCTACCAACTATTAAATCGAATTACTACTTCAGAAAATTTCAAGAAGTTGAAGAATGGAAGAAATCGGAGGCATAGCAAAAAAATATACTGCAAGCTTTTAAACTCAATAAATTGATAATCTGTTACAGAAAATCCTATAAGTTGTTTATTCAATTCCAGGGCAATACACTAAAACATAATTTTATAGAATATGTATATTTAAAAAATTAGACTACAGCAGAACAGTCTGATTTACTATAGAATTAAAATATATAATTCCATAGTAATAAGAGATGTATTTGCATACAAAATATACCTTATTTTCATAAAGTATGAAAATAATAAGAAATCACATTTATCAATCATTTAAACTACAGATTTTAAACATTCATGTAAATATGAGCTAGCCAAAATCAATCAAATTCTTTTTTGGATGGTCATTCACTTGTAAATTGAAAGACTGTCATGTAAATATACCTAAAAGAGTTATAAATCAGACTGAAGCAGAACTTGTATGAATATGCAAATTGACAAAGAAATTTGAAACTCCTAGTATTCTACTAATCCAATTACCAGTAAGCTGATTGCCAATCTGATTCAAGTATATGAGGATGGCTGCCTCATTAAAGCTAATGGCTCCCTCCGGCTAGAAATGAGTGGGGTTACCAACTGTTAAATTTTGGTAGCCCAATCAAAAATGTGCTAGCAGCAGTTTGAACACAACTATTTGAAGTCCAAGTATGCAGAATAATTCTTCCATATAACTAAGATTCAAGACATGAAACAAAAAAGAGAAGAAAATAAGACTGCCTCTATGGGGCAATATCTAGTATCAAAAGATTTTTTGGCAAAGCAAATTAACAGGTGTGGTGTAAAAACTTCATTTCATCACATTATATAAATCTGTGAAAAATTAAAACTGAAGGGGAGAGCAGTGATCCCTTTCTCTATTGTTTAGCAGATAATTTTTAGTTTTTATGTGTCTATAGGGGTAGATTTAATATAGAAATACAAATAAAAGAATAGTTAAGCATAAAATAAAACTTGTTTATTTTACAAAATAGCATTATTTTTAAATTGATAAAGTATCCACTGAAACATTTAAAAATGTTAACAAATTATTTGCACCTTATGAAGCATCATTTAATAAAATAATCATGTTGGTGGAGAGGCTCTTGGAGTTTTGTGAATTAATAAAATCTGAAGTTATTGAGCTATTTCAGCAATTGACTTGTTTTACCTCAAGTTCTTCTTTTCCTTAGTGAGCAGTGTCATCTGAGGTACAGGGACTGAATATTAATTAATGTGATGTGAACTACTTAGATAAAATTCTGCAACTTGTAGATATAATTCTTTCCAATTCCAAACACCAGTTTAGTTTATCTGTCAGGTATATAAAAAATATGGAAAGGCACCACGATCTCGGATATCAGCTGAGAGTTTATGTCCCATGGATTATATGCAGCTCCCACCAATACTTCAAACAACCTAAGAACGTTTCTTTCCCTATAACTGCATTAGGATCTTACCTTCAAAAATTATAAGAACTACAGAAAAAAATCAGTTTCAACTTTGTAGTGTATAATATATCTGCTTGAGACAGTTCTTTTCCCTTTTTTTTTTAATTGTCATTTGTTGACTGGAACAATCAAGATAAAAAAAAAACAATAATCTTCTACTCCGGTGAGCAAAGCATTTAGGAGGTCCACTAGTTTCAGTGACAGGAAAATTGCTATGCCCCTGACAAACATATTACTAGAAAAAGAGTTCAACTAAATTTTACATCAAGGCTGAGGTCAACAAACACGTTTTCATGTTAAGCTTTGATTGAGAGATGAAACCATGAAAAATCAATAACCAGTTTTAAAGAGTAAGAGATTGATATTAAAGTGATACTTATTTTAGAAATGAATCCTGAGACTTTCATATATAAAAAAGAAAAAGTTAGTCTGTAATTTTTTCAATGCTATGCTTTTCAAATTTCCATGTAATATTTTTTTTAAAAAAACCTGTGAATAAGACTGAAATAGGAAACTTTCTAATTCAAAAGAATTATTTTTATTTTAATGATAAGGGCACTTTAAATACTTACTAATCTTCCTATTTTTTGAAGCAGAAATACAGATTTATTTATATTTTTCAGATTACGATAATCATCTTGTTAAAGTCTGCTGTATTTCTTCTATGATTTTTTTCCCCCTGAGTAGAAAGGTTAAAGGCAAAATAAAGCATATAATTATTCTATAAGCAAAGACTATAAGATAAACAACTTAAATGATAATCGAATTCTCTGTAGAGTAAATATGGCACAGAACATTTTAGTTCATTTCTGTTGTGGCCATATAAAGATTATTTTTCAATTACAGGTTTAAAATGAAAGCTTGTGACCTGAACACCTGTGCCAGATTGGTAGTTTAGATTCCTAATTTTCTGTGCATGACATCCCTTGGAACAGATGCAAGGGGACAGAAGTGAGTAAAATTACTCTGTTCTGATGACTGACCAGAGGCTAACATAGCCAAGGAACAGAGGAAGAGGAGCGGAGCTAAGAACTACTCACTGCCTCAGCAGTCGATCATGGAACCAGGCTCAGCAAATACATAGATCAAGAATTTTATCAGTCTTGAAAGCATGACATATTTGTTATAAATATAATCTTGAGAGCAATGTTTTCTTATTGAGTGGGTATATGAGGCAGTATAAATTAAGCCTGCCAAAACATAAATGAGCATTTCTTTATGAGATACCATTTGTTCTTGATCACTGTGTACACAATATTGGTATTAATAACTTGCTTCAATTATCTTGGAATTTATTTCAGTTAATATTTTGATTGGATATTTCCAAAAAAATTGGGGGGGGGGGTACCAGGGATTGAACTAAGGGGCACTTGACCACTGAGCCACATCCCCAGCCCTATTTTGTATTTTATTTTGAGACAGGGTCTCACTGAATTACTTAGTGCCTCACTTTTTGCTGAGGCTGGCTTTGAACTTACGATCAATCCTCCTGCCTTAACTTTCTGAGCCACTGGGATTACAGGTCTGTGCAACTAGGCCCAGATTGAGGTTTACTCTTTAGAGTTAAAGATAGTATATACATTTTATCATTTAAAAGTCACAGATTTGATACAGTAGTCTGCTATTACTCACAGCTGGTGTGTTCCAGAACTCCCATGGATGCCTGAAACACCTCTGTCTCTATCTCATATTATATATGTGTGTACACACACACACACACACACACATATATATACACATATATGTTTATATACACACATATGTATATATATACATTTTATAATAAAACATATGCATATATGTAACAAAATATAAAAACATGACACACATACACACATATGTGTGTGTGCATCATGTTTTTATCTATACCCACATACCTATGATAAAGTTTAATCTATATCTATGGCACAGTATAGATTAATAGAAACTAGTGATAAGAACAATTAATTAGGGTTATAAAGTAAAGGAAGTCAGAGAACCTGCTCTGGTTTTGTTGGCCCTGTTTTTCCACCGCCCTTTTTCTTAACTGAGTTCGGGCCAGTTGCCCTCCGACCTAGCATCGCCTTCACCATGGCTCTCAGCGATGCTGACGTGCAGAAGCAGATAAAGCACATGATGGCTTTTATTGAACAAGAAGCCAATGAGAAAGCAGAAGAAATAGATGCAAAGGCAGAAGAAGAGTTCAACATTGAGAAAGGCCGTCTTGTGCAAACCCAAAGACTGAAGATTATGGAATACTATGAGAAGAAAGAAAAACAGATTGAGCAGCAGAAGAAAATTCAAATGTCCAATTTGATGAATCAAGCAAGGCTCAAAGTCCTCCGAGCAAGAGATGACCTTATCACTGACTTACTGAACGAAGCAAAACAGAGACTCAGCAAAGTGGTAAAAGATACAACCAGGTACCAAGTGCTACTGGATGGACTGGTCCTCCAGGGTTTGTACCAGTTGTTGGAGCCCCGAATGATTGTTCGTTGCAGAAAACAAGATTTTCCTCTAGTAAAGGCTGCAGTGCAGAAAGCTATTCCTATGTACAAAATTGCCACCAAGAAGGATGTTGATGTCCAAATTGATCAGGAGGCTTACCTGCCTGAGGAAATAGCTGGTGGAGTTGAGATCTATAATGGGGATCGTAAAATAAAGGTTTCCAACACCCTGGAAAGCCGGCTGGATCTCATAGCCCAGCAGATGATGCCTGAAGTACGAGGAGCCTTGTTTGGTGCAAATGCCAATAGGAAGTTTTTGGACTAAGCCCTTGGGAGGTGAAATTAATCTACTGCTGTACCTCTGAGAAGCAAGATCATCTATGTAGCTTACTATGTAGCTTCTTCTTTGTTGTTCTGCTATTATATTTATCAGTGGATATCTTCTGTAGCTAACATCCTTGGCCTAATGTTAACAACTGGAGGTTTCCTAAGTGTGATCAGGACCCACAGTAATTTGTCTCAGATACCACAGCTTTTATTTGGTTCTGTAGCATGAAGAGGAGGGGTCAGATGGTACTGCATGGACTATACCAAGTCTCCTGTTCTTTTCACTGTTCTAATTACCTAATCTAAACAGTGATATGCATGGTGATCCTTGCTCTTTAGGTATGGGGCATGTATTCTTTGGGCCTAGAATTTTTCTTCATCTGTAAATGTGATTTAAAATCTAAGCAATGAATTTTCTTTATTTATTAAAACAAAAGATTTATGTGGAAAAAAAAAGAACAATTAATTAATAGAACAATTAAACCAATATACTGTAATAAAAGTTATGCATAGTGGTTCCTGAAGCCATGACAATATTGATAGTTAGATATCATTAGTCAACTTCCTCAACATTCCTGTATACATGGCCATGTTTTTTATTGGCAGTCACAGCATCTCCATTAATTTTTCTATTTTTAAGTCCAAACCTGTTTTTTAATCCATGCAACCACCCTTACTTTCAGTAAATGTCTTAATTCCACTTGTTTCTAAGGATTCCTACTTGAAGTCATCAAATATATTCAATATTCTATGGCAAAACATGTTGCTGTTCAGTAGGGTCACCTTTTCTGTTCAGATTTTCCACCAAAAAATTCAATGCATATATTTTTTAATCTTAACAGAATATTTTGCATTATATTTGTAATTATTGCAGTTTGAGGTACAATAGCAAAACTAACACAAATATCTTTTTCCTTTTGCACAGATGGAAGATTTGTTCTTACAATACATCTTAGCAATCTTGGCATATGATTTTTTTTTCCCCTTCACTTGTAAGTGAAAAGTTTCACCTTTTCACTTAATGGAAGCAGTTTATGGCTTCTCTGTGGTATATCCAAACTCTTGACATCACTGCTTTAGAACTTTGGGGTCATTTTTTAAGTAAAATAGGGGTTGACACATGTACTGTAATGCCTTGACAGTTGATCTGATAACTCAGACAGCTAATAAGTGGCTAATAGGTAGGTGGCACATACATTATTAACATGCTGGACAAAGCGATGTTTCACCTTTGCGACAGGTAAGGGTAAAATAGCAATAGATTTCATTATGGTATTCAAAACAGAGCACAATTTAAAATTTATGAATTGTTTATTTCTGGAATTTTCATTATAATAATTTTGGGCTGTGGTTGACCATGTGTAACTAAAAACCAGGGAAAGTGAAACTGGATAAGGTGGGACTATTTTATAACCATTATAATGTATATTGAAATTCTATAGAGTTCAATCAGATAGAATTTAGTGCAAATGCTTAAAAACAGAAACATTTGCTTAAAGCAGTGGTTTTCAAGAAGCTGTGTTCATCTCATGAAAGGTTCATTTATTCACTGAAGGATGGACAAGAACATCAGCACATCATTTTACATTTATTTATAGAGACAATGAGGAAAATACCATTATGTAATAATATTTAATATACAGATTGAAATTCTTTGTTACTTAATTGAGACATGCATTTAGATAATTAAGTTATACTAAAGAAGAGTGGTGGTTTTGTAATAGGCAAGGTTGACAGTGATGACCTCAAAATGTATTCACATCCAATTAAGTTGTAGATTTTATCTTCATTTTTAATTAACCTTACTCCTGTGATTGACAAATGAAAATAATACAAGTTATATAATCACAGACAAACAGAGATTGTGGCCATGTAATTTAAACATACCAAGTAACAACATCTTTTACAAAAGCTCGTTTCAACTACATCACATATTGACAACAACAACAACAACAAAAATTAAACCAAAATATTCTATCTAACTAGACCTGACAAGTAATAACTCCAAATGCTTTTAAAATTGTAAGTGAATGCTAAGTAACATTTAAATATCAGATAAAGGTGCAGATTTGGGGGCTGGAGTTGTAGCTCAGTGGTAGAGGGCTTGCCTAGTACAGATGAGGCACTGGGTTTGAACCTTAGCACCACATACAAATAAATAAATAAAATAAAGTTATCATGTCCATCTAACTAAAAAAATTTTTTTTAAAAAGATGAAGATTGTGATTTTTGCCTAACAAAGGAGATCTAAACCAGGACAGGCCATCAAAGCAAATAATGACCATGCTTAGGAATTTTTAAGACAGCCAGAAGTTCAGGAGAGAAGCAGCAAGACTCTTTAAGGATTCTTTAGAGTAAAGAGACAAGGCTAGTGACCAGGAAGGCCAATAGTTGTGGGTTCTTCACCTGGCCCAAATAGAGCCATTTATGCAGTAATAAACACACAGGATATTCAGCGGCCAACCGCTTAGTTCACCTTTGTCCTCATTGGGGAAGAATTCTTTGATTTCACCATTAACAAGAATACGGCGTGAAAAGAGATATATATCCATTCATGCAAATGCTGAGCCTCACTCTGAATATGATTCTGTCTTAGAATATAGTTTCTTATATTATGACTTTCATACTGCCAGTAAGATTTTTAAAAATTGAACATCCAGAATACAAAGATAGACTTTATAATTAGTGAAAAAAGTCTATCTTTTTAAAAGTATCATATAAAATGAAGATTTAAAGTATTGCCTATTCTTTCCTTTTAAGTTCTGTTTAGTTATATGCTTTGTAAAGTATATAATGCATCAGAAGAACAATATGCATATGTATTTATGCACACATGTTTAAATATACTAACTAATGTATTGAGACTATATGTTCAACAGTATTGATTGACGGGTATGTGTATAAAACATTCCAGTGATTGCTGATTTCTATACTTATAGGTAATTCTGAAGGTACACGGTGATTTTCAGAGGTTTAAATCATTAGGCTTTGCCTACATTTTCAATCTCATCTTCTCTTTTTCTGCTCAATCTAACTTTAGGCTTATATTTATGTGACTAAATTCTACCTAATGAGAAAGTGATTATACAATTTCTGAATAACCACCTAAAAAGAACTTTATTACCCCAATTTAATGCCTCTCCAACTTAACACAAACTATAACTTGAAGGTGGCTGTATTGTGCAAACTTGAACTAAGAGGATCAGGTCAAAATCCAAAGCAGGTAATTTAGATCTCTGGATGACCTAATGAATTAAGTTTCCTATTCCAGGTTAAACCTCAGATCAGTTTTAAACATAAAATAAATAAGCATAAAGCCACTGGTGGGGTACAATTAATACTTTTTATAATGAGGTTCTTAATAACTTAGATATTCAATTTAAAGAATCACATGCAAACCCTAATATGTATGAGTTTTTCACTTCTTTACAAACTATGCTGAAGACTCAGTTGTTTATTAATTTCCTTAAAAAATGATAAATTTGGTTGTAGGTTATAATATTTTTCTTATTTTCTTTTGGAAAATGGAAATGAATGAAGATATATATATATATATATATATATAGACTATTAAATGATGTAAAATATTTTGGAAATCCATAGTGCCATTGATATAGATTGTTTCATGGACTTGTAATATAAAATATAAGCTTATTACCTTAAAATGTATGAACTGATTTGATAGGTCAGCATGCTATATATAGTTGACCTAAACTGGATCTTGTCTATTCTTCTATTCAGTTGTCTTTCTAATTAAATGCAAAAAAAAATTCAAGATCATGACATTTAAAGAGCACATTATAGATATCAAGCACCATACAAAACAATTCTTCTGACGTTTCTGTCTTAAAAGAGAAAGTGAAAAAGTTACCAGCTGTTGTCCATTGGTATGATGTTGGGTTCATAATTCAATCTCTCCCAATGTTTAAAATAGGAAAATGTTGAATTCTTAGACAATCTATGGTTCTGGTGGTTTTAAACACAATACCCATGTAAAATGTTTTTTTTTCTTGGTTTTTATCAGTCATTATAGTAGAAAATTATAGACATTTTGCAGTACAGAAAAATGATTATTTTAAAAGGTAAAGACCATAGAATAATGATACCTGAACCAATTGATAATCCTTTTTGAAATATTATAAAAATCATTAGATAATAACTAAAAATAATGTATAACTTTCCACATAATAAGTACAGAAATTTGTGCCTTAGTTTAAAGTAAATGTATTTTCAAAAAGCAATAAATTATAATCATTTGGCATCTTTATTTTCTTTAATCATCCTTTCATTTCAAAGAATATTTTATCTACTTTTATAAGCTAAAAAGCAGATGTTTGTCTTCTACTAACTTATCAGTCCTAAGAAAGTACCTTTTTTATGACCACAGGATATTTTACACTTTTCAGATTCTTTACTTGCATATACTAATTGCAATGGAAAAGATGGGTTCTGTTCTAGTTTTATTCACTCTGTGAAGAACATTAATTTAATCTTTCTAAGCCACTTGTCTGTAGACAGGTGGCAGGCTCTACATTAGCTCCCTTCTGTAATATGAACTTGAACAATTGACTGTCCAAGCCCAGTTCGGAACATTATATATGATTCTTGAGTAATAAAAAAAAAAAAGTCTTACAACAAAGCTGGTTGAAATGGCTTGGAATAAGAAGAAAAAATTCTGACCTATAAAAACCTGTTTTGCATTTACATGGACATATCCTGCTTTGTATTTATCTTGCTCCTCTGCATTTTTCAACAATTTCTACCATGCAGGAGTGGAGTGTGAGTGGTATCAGTGTGTGTGTATCCGTGTGTGTATGAGTGTGTGTGTGTGTGTGAGAGAGAGAGAGAGAGAGAGATACAAACATAGTAAGCTAGATTAGATGAGTTTTGTAGAAGACAAAAGAAAATTTCTTGTTTACTGTGAGATACTTAAATGAACTAAATACATGTGCGAGAATATCCCCAGCAGCTTTATTCATAATAGTGAAAACAGTGGAATTAACACAAATTGTGAATGGATATATTGTATAGTCAAGTAATGGAATGTTACCAAAGTGAAGCAGAAACATTAAATATGCTAGTATTGTTTGGTTTAGCATCTTACATTGTGAATGAAAGTTGTTGATTTGCATCATTGATATTTGACAGTTTGTCAAATGTATTTGTAGATATATTTTATTTTTTCCTGTTATGTTAGGGAAAGTGTATACTCTTTCTCTCTTTTTTCAGTTAGTTTTCCAGCTTTATTGAAATACAATTAACAAATATAAATTGTATTTAAAGTATACAGTGTTTTGATTTCTGTGCACAATATGAAATTGTTGCCATAATCAAGGTAATTAATGCATTTGACATCTCACATACTTCTCATTTTTTGTGTGTTTGGTGACAGTATTAAAGATCTACTCTCTTAATAAATTTTAAGTACACATTATAAACTAC